TTGATCAGGTTGTTCGGCGTTGTTCAAACAGGAGTGAACAATGTTGTGCTGCACCCCGTAAACAATATTGTTAACAAGTTGTTCAACCATCAGTACTGTTGCAAGTTGTTAACATGATTGTCAACAAGTTGCAACAATGTTGATGGTTCAACAACTTGTTAACAATATTGCATGGTCACGGGGTGCAGCACAACATTGTTCGCTCCTGTTTTGAACAACTTGCATGAACATGATGATTTTTACGCGTGTAGATTAAGTTAGCCTATGTTGTAAACATAACAATGGATGATTCCAGCTATAGATTAAATTTTGATCCAGACAAGAAGGACGAAATCTATCATAGCTTAAATAAACATACTTAAATTAGTAAAATTTCCACATTTGGTTGCACAAAGTTGTAAAATACGGAAAATATAGCCCTGTGAAAAGTAGCAAGTTTTGATTATTTTATTATTACGTGCATAAAAATGCACCACTTTTGAACCGAACGTGTCCCGTAATACTAAAATACTCAAAATTTGCTCATTTCACAGGGCTATATTTTTCGTATTTTACAATATCTCGCAACCAAACTTTGCAATTTTACTAATTTTAGGATGCTCTCTTGAGCTATAATGATAGATTTTGTCTTCCTTGTCCAGATAAAAAAATAGTAGATATTTGGAATCATCCATTGGCATTGAGATTTTACTTTCCTAAATGTGTTTAACCCACCCTGTCAACTTTCCCAGTGGGAGGAAACTGGAGCACTCGGAGAAAACCCACGACTTTCACTAGAGCGTTGACTGACTCTTTTCACATGAGTCCGTAGCGAGAATCGAAGTCACGATCTCAGACGTGAAAGGAGCTTGTTCTGACAGCTGGGACATCGAAGCACCCCAATACATCGACCAAATGTTATCGATGTCTTTGGCGGCTTCGGTGGCGCAGTCATCAGAGGAAACGCCTTTCACCTCGGAGATCGTGGGTTTGATTCTCGCTACGGACTCATGTGAAAACTGCATACAAATAAAAACAACTTACCAAAATTGAAACGTTTATTCTCTTCGTCGTTACAGTTTGTCGTAAATCCGATGTAGGGATCTATTCCTTGATTTGAAGCAAGTCGTTCATCTGTTTGAGGGACTGCACACCGCGTCCCTTTATCAGGTATATAATATAAAGATAAACCTCCCCAAGAGGTCTGGGTTATAGCATGGTCCCGATCACGACAATTACTTGAAGGATCTGTAGCAACGAGCAAATACAACACAGAAAGAGTATAACCAGAATCAGCCCAACGTACTCCCTCGAAACACCCCTTTCTTTTCAAATTGAGCATGGCACTATTATCAAGAAACCGAAACTGAGCAGCTGGATCCAGACAGTTGTTGGAAAGTTCCACAAAATATAAGCTTCCCCAAGCCGCATCCACTTGTAGTATTCCTGTGTCATTAATGCACATCTCTGTCTGCACATGTTTCACAAAGAAACAAGCAGCACCTGAAACAAAAATAAAAATAAACAACGAAGTAAACAATGAATCCCGTTGCGTGTCTGTTTAATGCTTGCGTTTATTACGCTCATGTTAGTTACTTAGCCTAGACTATATGGTTGTTGATGGCACAGTGTCCAACAATGTCTTTCATAGCTCATTTATATTACTTATATCACATAAGTATATTTCATTTGTCCAAATATGCATCAAGCTAATGCAAGCTAATTAACTGAATTGATTAGTATAGGTACAAGTGTAGCTACATTGTAGTTATTCCAATTTCCAAACAGTTCTTCTGATCCATTCTTCAAAAAAATTTAACTTGAAATAATGGCAATGAAGTTTAATCCAATCTTTTATATTCGGACTGATTGTACTGTAGTTTAGATTTATAATCATTGCTACTTATTAATTAGTCTCTGAGGCCCCTGTGCTCATCGGTTTCTGCACGCATCTTTGGCAGATGTCGGATAGCCACAAAATAGAATATTAGACAGATTTAGATCGAGGACGCGGACGTCAAAGACGACGTGAAAATGGCGTCAAAATGGCGTGGCATATCCATATATGGGCACAACACGCTATTTTCACGTCGTCTTTGCAATTGACGTCCGCGTTCTCGATATAAATCTGTCTGAGTGGTCGCCGGGCGATTTGTATTGCAAACTGTTTCGTCATGTTTAAGTACTATTTAAAGCACGCGTAGGAGTGTTTTATCACATATAAAACACGACGCGTAGCGGAGTGTTTTATATGTGATAAAACACGACTACAAGTGCTTTAAATGGCTTAAAAAACGACT